TAAACTCCTAAACCCTAAACCCCTAATCCCTAAACCCTAAACCCCTATACCCTCAAACCCTAAACCCTAAGCCCCTAAACCCTTAAACCCTAAACCCCTAAACCCTAAACCCCTAAACCCCTAAACCCCGAAACCCTAAACCCCTAGACCCTAAACCCTGCACGGCGCCAAATCCTCGGAAGCCTAAATGTTTCAAGTCCAAGTCCAGAGACCCGCGACACGTAAGGAAGCTGCTGAATTCTAGGACATGTTCAGGTCGTTATAGGAGCCTTATAGGGTTTTAGGGGTTTGGGTTTCGGGCTTTAGGTTTTAGGGTTTAGGGTAGGACATTTTCAGGTGGGTAGTTAACGTTATAGGAGCTTTATAGAAGGTCTATATACCTTATAGAAGTCGTATAGAAGCCATATATGGTGCAGCGTCGCCCTCCCCTCCCTTCCCCCCCATGGTATCCCCCCGTAGTACACCCCCTCCCCAATTATGTTTCCCTTCACCTGGCTGTGGTGCATGCCATATATACCCTAAACTCCACACCTGTAGTTTCCTCTAGCCTAAATGAAGCAGGAGTCCTGAACTTGATTTAAGCTATCCGGCTTCAACTACTGGGAGTTTAGGGTCTGTTGCTGAGCCAAAACTGAAACCCTGAACCCCTGAACCCATAACCTCTAACCTCCAAAACCAAAGCCCTACAACCTTGGAAAGGGTTTAGGGTTTAGGGTTAAGGTTTAGGCAGGACTGTCCTACTTAAGACTCTACCCATAACCGAATCACTAAACCCCCTTGATTCTCCAAGATATAACCCTGCAGCCCCCTTCTACAGCCCCGTAAACCCCGTACAGCACCCTAAACCCTAAACTCTAGACAAAGTACGACCCTTCTAAAACCTATAAAACCCTTTAAGTAAGACCCTTTCTCAACTCCTTTAACCCTAAACCCTTAACCCTAAACCCTATAAAACCCTTTAAGTAAGACCCTTTCTGAACTCCTTCAAACATATAGTGGATCCCAGAAAGGTGGAACATGAATTCAGGACGATCAGCGCTAGGATCTCTTATACTTTACCTTAAGGGCATGAGCAACTTTATGACGGTTTAGAGTTTTAGGGTTTAGGGTTTAGGGTTTAGGGTTAAGGGCATGAGCAACTTTATGGCTCCTACTAAACCCTAAACCCTAAACCCCTAAACCCGTAAACCCTAAACCCTAAACCCCTAAACCCCTAAACCCTAAACCCTAAACCCCTAAACCCTAAACCCCTAAACCCTAAACGCTAAAGCGTGGAAACTAGTCCCCACGTGAGACACCTGCGGCAGGTCGCCTCGATTCTGGACTTGATGAGTGAGAGCCGACTGGAGCCACACTTAAAGGTTCAGGGGGCTCAGTAAGTAGGGTTTTTTATCGATTCCTTTGAGGGTTCCGTTAAACGTTTATGCAGCTTCAGGGGTCATTAGTAAGGTAGCTAGAGTTAACATCGAAGTAGAAGGCTTATTAAACTACCAGCCCGTACTTTTAAGTTGTAACAAATGCTGGTTCCTCAGGGTAGTCACGTGACTCCGAAGCTCCTGCAGGTAGAAGCCACCACAAGCCACCATAAACCCTGCAGGCCATTATAAAAACATATTCTCTGTTTATTCTGTTTCAATTATAAAACAGTATGTATATATATATATATATATACATATGTATGTTAGAAAATTAAAACTATATACAGGCAGAAGTCCTAATGGCTGACACGGACTGACGCATGCCCGACCGAACCCCAAACCCTGAACCTTCCACCCAAAACCCCAAAACTCCTAAAGCCCTACAGCCCGAAACCACCAAAAGCCCTAAAACCCGAAACCCCGAAACATCGAAACCCTCAACCCCAACCCTTAAACCCTTTAACAAAAAGAAAACCCTAAACCCGCTGCAGACTCCGAACTCCTCAAAGCCTACAGCGCACCCCAGGCCCCTACACCAAAGGAGCTTCGAAGGTGATCGTCTGCGTGGCATAGAAGCCTGCGTAGACAAGGGGGGCTCCCTTTTAGGGTTTAGGGTTTAGGGTTCAGGGTTATAGAACCCCTAGGTTCCCCAGTAGTACCCTTTTGCCGTTTTTCTTTTTAGGTTCCCTTCATAGAACCAAATAGTAGTGAAAAAGGGTATCCGTATTACTTAGGGGCTACTGGGGAACCTAGGACAGCAACATTGTCCCTCATTTATATGGTTGGAACCCTAAACCCTAAACCCTAAAAGTCTAGGGTTCCTTTGAGAGTTTCTTTGAGGGATCTATAGAGTTCTATTAGGGCTCTAGTAACGGAACCTGATTCGGGTTCTTTTGAGAGTTTCTTAGGGGTTTAGGGTTTAGGGGTTTAGGGTTTAGGGCCCGACTTTGGGAGTAGGGATGTAGGTGCTTCGATCAGGGTTATAAGCAGATATTGGTAAAGCCACCTGGCTTGTAACCCTACTTGCTACGTCCCCTGGGCCTCTCAGTCATGTCTTTCTAGTAAGAAAAGCTCGAAGTCATAGCCTCTTCGTTTGGGCATCTACCCAGAGATCCCAATGTACCTTAGTTAGGGAGTAAATCTCAAATTATAGGGGCCCTAATACTATGATTTAAGGAGCATCTTCCCTAATTAAGGGGTATTGGGATCTCTGGGTACAGTGTTTTTTCGGACTCCAGGGATGTTGTGGGTTGGGGGCGAGCCGCAAGGAGCGACAGAAGCACCAGAGGCACACGAGGCGGACACCCCATTGAGCCGTAGAGAAACCCTAGGACCGACACCCCATAAACCCCTTGAGAGCCATTATGAAAACTTAGTAGATCTTCAACCCCAAAGCCTTGTTAAAGATGGGTAAAACTCACAAACCGCCATTCCCAAACCCTGAACCCTAAATCCGAAAAGCCCTGAACCCTAAACCCAAAACCTTTAGCCCATTGTAGGCTACTGCGCGGAGTTGGAGTTAAAGCACGTCCCCACTTTAAAAGATACTGAACCCTAAACCCTAAACCCTAAACCCTAAACCCTAAACCCTAAACCCTAAACCCTAACCCTAAACCTTTAACCCACAGGAGCTTCAAGCTCTCAAGCGGCTGGTTGAGCAGAGCGAGCAGCTCTGCCGGGACCTCGCGCGCCAAGTCCTCAGGTGCTCGAGGTATCTTACCCTAAGCCTCCAGGTACCTACTATATGGGGCCTACACCCTAAACCCTAAACCCTAAGCCTCCAGGTACCTACTATATGGGGCCTCAGGGGCTTGAGTGCCCTATATAGTAGGCACCTGGAGGGTTAGGGCTAGGGCTAATTCTCATTTTTGTGTTGTGTTGGGTCTGTGTGCGTGCGTTGAAACGGTTCGTTCCTCTGCTGATTTGCAATGTCCCACATAGCACGATGCTTCGCTAACCGATGCGTTGGAAGCTAGACAAGTACGAGTTTACTTAGGAGCCCCGTAGGTAAACTTTGAACTTTTTGGTATATTAAGCCCCCTACTAAAAGAAAAGTTTAAACTTTTTTGGGCCAGGGTACTGGGCTTCAAGGTTTATGCCATCGCCTTTGGTTTTGGATTGAAGGTTTCGCGGAGCACCTCAGCCTGCGACACCCCGTGCGGTTATTGAAGGCCGATCTTCGAGAATATTTGCCATTTGCCCCAAGAAAATTCCCTAACCCTCCAGGTACCTACTATATAGGGTACTAGAGCCCCTAAGGCCCTACATAGTAGGTACCTGGAGGCTTAGGGATTCCTAAACTCTAAACCCTAAACTGCCGAGAGCGCCGCTGACCGTTTGCGTGGGTGCTCGAGGCTCCGACCTAGGCCTCCGGCCGAGCGTCTCGTCAGAACGGCGAGGGAGGGTAAAGCCTTCCGGGAGTGTCCTGTCTGGGGGCCCCAGCTGGCAGACTCTAGGGAGCGGGGTCGTCGAGTGGACCCACAACCCGACACCAATCCATCTCAGCTGTGGTTTGCTTTGAATTATGCTCGTTTATGTGTCGAACTGCGAAGGGAGGCAGAGAGCAAGAAAGTCCCCCTTGAAGGGGTTTGGGAGGTGAGCCCTCAACCATAGTTGAGAATCGTTGGGCGGTTGTGGCGGGACTAAAGCCTACCTCAAGCGCGCGATAAGTGGGTGCGCCCCTGGTGCTAAAGTAAAAGGCGCACCCACCGCGTGCACATTGTACACACACCCTAGTCCCAAAGCCCGAAACCCGAAACACTAGCCCCTAAACCCTAAATCCTCCTGTCGGTCTTTGAGATGTTCTTCAGTTTCTTCGCCTAACCTCTGAGGATCCAAGTGGGCTTGAGACTGATAGTGGAAGACGAGGTTGCCTGTCGCTATGCATGTCCATCCTAACTCCTACACTCGCATTCTCGGCCCGTAGTCGGGATCGAAATGATCCTACAGTGTTTTTGGGGCCTCAGTGGGGGGTGGATGCAGTTAAGGGTTAGTCTTGCAACACATTGAAGCCCCAGTAACCGGCTCCTCCTGGTAAGGAATTCTACTGTACCAGCAGTTGGAAAAGAGCCCACAAAACAAAAACCCTCAAACCCTAAAGCCCTAAACCCCAGCCCTAAACCCTAAACCCTTAATCCTTAAACCCTAAACGAAAAACCATCGAATGGATTAAACCCAGACGGCCAAAGCATGGGCGGCAGAAGACACAATCCCGAATCTGGCTCTTCTTTGGTTGCGGAGCGTAGTTTGTCTATAGATCCCATGCAAACCACTACGAATTCTTACAAAAGCATGTAAAACCTGCTAAACACCTTATGGTACCCGATAAGATCTTACAAAAAGCCGAAGAAACCTTTTCAAAACCCTGTAGCACCCTCTGTAACCAGAATAACCAGGTTCGCAATTCCCTTCTAAAGTTTTTTTTTATAAACCTGCTTTTACAAGCCCTAACCCCTGAGCCCTAAACCCTCCTAAACACATAAAAAAGTCTGACTTACAACAACTCCCGCAAACCCTAAACCCTAAACCGTAAGTTCCACAAGATGCCGTAGAAGCTGGACACCCCTTAGGGGCTGAGTAGGTAACCTTTAAAGGTTTAGGGTTTAGGGTTTAGGGTTTAGGGTTTGGGGGTTATAGAGCCCTACTATAATTCAAAAGGTTGACCTGTTTTGGGCAGGGGTACGTACTGAGCCCCAAAGACCCTGAACCCTAAATAAACCTTCAGCCCTAAATCTCAATCCCTACCCGGACCATACAAAACCTAGATTTTTAAGGCTCTTTATTACGATTGTGTTTTACAAGTCCTGAAAAAGGCAGGCTATGTAGGGGTAACATAATAATTAATACCCACCGTCGAAGCCCTAAGCCCTTAGGCGAGGGAGCAGAGCTCATCCCGGGAAACCTCGCCACCTCCGAGCCGCTGCTGTTGGAGGCGCTGGGCCGTGACCAAGGATTTCCACAGCCCCTGTCTTTGGCGTTTGTAGAAGGGTGTCGTATGTTGTTCAATGATGTTTTCTAGGGGCACCTGTTTTTTGGTTCTTCAAAACGAAAGGGGATCTATTCGTTTGTTTCCCTTTCTTGCTCTGATTTGCTAGTGGTTTGGATTTGTCTATGTGTTTTGTTATATAAATAAATAAGTAAATAAATAAATATCTGTATATATATATATATAACCTTCTTTCATTCCCTCTCTTTCTCTTGCTCGCTTGCTCGCTCGCTCGCTCGCTCGCTCGCTCTCTCTCTCTCTCTCTCTCTCTCTCTCCCTCTCTCTCGAAGAAGAAGAACATGCGACATGCAGACTGCACAGAACATCACAGAACGCAGCACTGGCACGCAACCTCGGCGATTTTTCCGGATTGTGCGAGGCATCATTCGGCATCCTCGTGCCCCGGCTCTGCTTCGGATAAATTCACTTCGGAATCACGGAGCATGCCGGACTGTGCAAGCCATTGCGCATCGGAGTCCTTAGTGCATCCTGGTGCCCCGGCTCTGCAAAGCATCATTCGCTTCGCGAAATGTTCACATGGCGAGGGTTGGCAATGTCGGCGGGGCATGCTCATGCACTCCCCGCAAGAAGTTAGCGAAACGTTTCGTGCCGTTGACCTTTGTTGGAGCCACCTCGCGCAGTCGGTGGTACACCTGGTAGCTGTACTCCTTGGGCGAAGCTCTGGGTTTTCAGTGTTTTGGATCCAGGTGTACAGCCCTGCCCAAGCCCAAGAAAAAAGCTTAAACTCCAATCAAGCTCAACGTCCCTAAACCTTAAACCCTAAACCCTAAACCCTAAACCCTAAACCTTAATGGGTTCCTTCCAGGGTTCCTTCAAGGTGCCTCTGAGGGTTCCCTTAGAGGGCTACCTGGGTTTTTGGGCCTGTACTGCCAGCCTGAACCCCTAAACCCTAAACCCCTCGGTTTAGGGTTTAGGGTTTAGGGTTTAGGGTTTAGGGTTTAGGGTAAAACCCTTAAAACCCCTAAAGCCTGAACCTCTAAACCCCTAAAGCCCTAAACCCCTAAACCCTTAAACCCCGAACCCCTAAACCCTTAAAACACCCTTAAAAAACTCTGATATCATTTCAAAACACCAAAGAACCATGATCTCCACTAAATCCCCTAACACCACCGAAAACCTTTCAATCATTAAAGACATTTAAACCGTTTCAAAACAGTTAAAACCACCTAAAAACTTTTAATGATTTAAAATCACCTAAAAACACATAAAAACAAATAAAAACCCCTAAAAACCCTGAAAGCCACTAGCAACTTTTGAACCACCTGAAACCTCTAAAAAAACTCTAAAATCTCCTTAAACCTTAAACCCTAAACTTTGTGCTGCCAGGCGTGCACGCCCCTCTCTCTGACTCCGGCCTTGGAGGCGATCGGTTTAGGGGTTTAGGGGTTTGGGGCCTTGAGGTGAGGGGTTTTTTGGGTTTAGGGACTGTGTATAGGGGGTTTGGGGTTTTAGGGTTTGGGGGCTTTTGGGGTTTTAGGCTTTAGTGTGCTTTGGGGGGTTTTAGGGTTGGGTTTTTTGGGGTTGGGGCCGTAAGGGTTGAGGGTTTTAGGGTTTTAGTGAGTTTAGTGTTTGTGTTTTTTTTTTTCGGTGTAGGGTTTTCAGAGTCTGGGGTCGAGGGTTGAAGGCATTAGGGTTTGGGGTTTATAGGGTTTAAGCTTTTGAGTTTCGGGGTTTGGGCTTTCGGCGGGATTTGAGACGGTCTGTGGTCTGGTGTGGGTCAGGAAAAGGCATACAGTTTCCGAAACATCAAGACCGTATACCCCAGGCCTTCAGCAAGTTTCACACATCCCCAAACCTCCAAACCCTAAAGCCTGAAGCCTTACAGCCGAAGAGAGGAGGGTAGGGGTCCATAAAAACAGTAGTAAGAAGCTCGCTAATATAGGGGCCTGAAAAATTACCAGAACTATCCTGAAAGTTTCCTTATTATAATACTAGTATAATAGACCCCCGAAACCTTTTTCTAATTACTAAGGCCCCTATAGTAGCCCTTTAAGGGTCCCTACAATGAGCCCTAGAACCAGCAAGCCTTCTAGAAGCAGCTCCAGAAGCCCCACGACAGAGGCCGACGAAAACCCGTGGAAGGCCACGACAAAACCCCCTTAAAACCTTTAAATCCCTGCAACCTAAATCCTCCAATCTCTAAACCCCCTACCTAAATCCCTAAACCCCTACCCCTACCTAAATCCCTAAACCCCTACCTAAATCCCTAGACCCCTACCTAAATCCCTAAAGCCCTACCTAAATCCCTAAAGCCCTACCTAAATCCCTAAAGCCCTACCTAAATCCCTAAACCCCTACCTAAATCCCTCAAGCCCTGACCCCTAACCCCCAAATCGCGAAACGCTAAACCCAAAACCCTATATCCTAAACCCTAAACCCTAATCCCTAAACCCCTAAACCCTAAACCCTAAACCCCCCCCAATCCGCTAAACAGAATCCCAGGAGCTCACCGAGGAGACGGCGCAGTATTGGTCAGACCTCTACGGGCGTTCGGTGTACCAGGACCTCCGGTTTTAGGGTTTAGGGCTTAAGGGTTTCGGGCTTTAGGGTTGGTTTGGCCCGGGGTGTTAGGGGTGCCTTTAAAGCATCCTAGGGTTTAGGGTTTAGGGTTTAGGGTTTAGGGTTTAGGGTTGGTTTAGCCCGGGGTGTTAGGGGTGCCTTTAAAGCATCCTAGGGTTTAGGGTTTAGGGGTTTAGGGGTTTAGGGTTTAGGGTTGGTTTAGCCCGGGTTTTAGGGGTGCCTTTAAAGCATCCTAGGGTTTCGGGTTTAGGGGTTTAGGGGTGCCTTTGAAGCATCCTAGGGTTTAGGGGTTAGGGGTTTAGGGGTTTAGGGTTTAGGGTTTAGGGTTCAGGAAGTTCAGGGTTTTGGAGTTTAGGGTTCAGGGTTTAGGGTTTAGGACCTCCCTACAAGGGGTGTTTTTCGGGGTTCGGGGTTCATCAGGTTTTAGAGGGCTTCAGATCCGGTCTATACTCTTTTTTTTCAACAGGGTCTTAGAGGATCAAGGGACTTAAGGAGTAGGGAATAAATGAAATTCATTCTCTGAGGGTTCAATACGGGGTTTAGGGTTGAGAGAGCAGGGGACTTAGTAATACCAAGTCCCCCGGTAAGTACCTACAACCCCCAAAACCCTAAACCCTGAGCAAGGGTTGATCGGGCTGTTGTTCGGGCTTCAGGTTTCACAGGGTTGTTGAACCGATTTAGGACGGTTGTTGAAGGGTCTCAGAGAGTTGCTAGGTAGGCCTTTGGGACATTTTACAACCTCGGTTGTATAAGGCCTTTACGGTTTTTCGCGGCCCTAAACCCTAAACCCTAAACCGGGGGCTTGTGGACCCTAGGTCCCCAGTGCCCTCATGCCCGTTTTCTGATTCTGGAGCCTCCTGGGTTTAATATAGGGGCCTTAATCATTACCTATACTATTTTGGGGTTCCTTATTATATTTATATTATAATATGACCCACAACCTTATTCTAGTTATTAACGCCCATCTATGCGGCTCTGGTTCGGCTCGACGCCGACATTGACAGCTGGATAGTCTCTCGGGCTGCAGCTGCTATCACCGTACTGCCAGTGCAGCCAATCGAGGAGGAGAGCATCGTCTCCACCCATCGCCCCGCGTCGAGCATGCAACCATCCAGCTTCCGGGCGTGTTCCACGTCGGCGCACAGGTGGGAGACCCAGAGCGGTCTCCCTTTGGGGGGTGTACCAGGAAAGAGTGCGCCTGCTTAAGCTCTGGTTACACCGTTTTCGTGAGCAGCTCTCGGTGCAGGAGAAAACTGCACTTGGGTACTACGTCCTCGGCGCTTTGGCTTAGGGTTTAGGGTTTAGGGTTTAGAGTTTAGGGTTTAGGGTTTAGGGTTTAGGGTTTAGGGTTTAGGGTCTGTCAGGAGTCAGTGCCAGGGACTTTGGCTCGACCTTAGGCGTGAGCAATGCCGAAGACCGCGAGCCCTCGAAGTCTAGCCCCGAAGCCTAAACGTTGAACCTGTAACCCGAAACCTTAAACCCTAAACCTTATAAACCCTAAACCCTAAACCCTAAAACCCTAAAGCCCTAAGCCCTAAGCCCTAAACCCGAAACCTTAAGCCCGAAACCCGAAAGTCTGCTTCAGGCTGCGATTTAGGGTTTAGGGTTTAGGGTTTAGGGCTTTGGGGTTTAGGGGTTTAGGGTTTAGGGTTTAAGGTTTAGGGCTTTGGGGTTTAATGTTTAGGGTTGAGGGCTTTGGGGTTTAGGGGTTTAGGGTTTAAGGTTTAGGGTTTAGGGTTTAGGGCTTTGGGGTTTAGGGCTTTGGGGTTTAGGGGTTTAGGGTTTTTGGGTTTAGGACCACGATCAACGGAAGGATCTGCCCTACTACAGGGTTTGGGGTTTAGGAATCCTTGTAATAAATACGATGGGGAGCCTGCATTGTTGTAGGGGCTTCGAAGTCGCGGGTTACAGGTTTAGGGTTTAGGGTTTAGGGTTTAGGGTTTAGGGTTTAGGGTTTAGGGTTTAGGGTAAAGGGTTGGTGAGTTTTCCGTCTCCTTGGGTACTGGTTGCCGTGGCCGTAAGCCCAAAACTTTTCAACCCCACATCCACAACTCTTGCTGGGCTCCGGTGCCTACGGCTCTAAAGGACGAGGGGTTTACTATCCTTAGTTGGCTCCCTTCTCTGTATGCTAGAGTCGTTCGGGCTATCCGACCAGGGCAAAGGAAACCCTAAACCCTAAACCGTGAACAGGAACAATAGCACCCAAACCCAAAACCCGTCATGGTCCAATGGTTGCTGTGGTTGGAGTCCTCATTCAGTCCAAACACTAACCCCAAAGCCCCTAAGCCCTAAACTTCCCTAAGCCCTAAACCTCTAAACCCGCAAGCCTAAACCCTACAAGCCCCCAAGCCTAAACCCGAAACCCTAAACCTTAAACCCCTAAACCCTAAACCCTAGACCTGAAACCCCAACCCCTAAACCCTAAACCCTAAACCCCTAAACCCCTAAACCTTAAACCCCTAAACCCCTAAACCCCAAACCCCCAAGGCCCCGGAAGCCCCAAACCTTAAACCCCTAAACCCCCAAACCCCCTAAACCCCAAACCCCTAAGGCCCCTGAAGCCCCCTGCTCCCCTACCCTAAACCCTAAACCCTAAACCCTAAACCCTAAACCTACTGGGTCAGGTCTTACTGTTCTTGGGCCCGGCGGAGCCTCGGATGAGAAAGCCGCAAACCTCTCCAAGATCAGGGTTCAGGTTTAGGGTTTAGGATTAGG